TGGGGGGTGGAGAATGCAACATTTCCAGCCAAGCTTTCTGTGAGGTCCTTCTCTCGGGAAAACTTTGCACCTGGAAAGTGTCCTGCATTCCTTGGATACAATCAAACCGGAGCACTGGGAAGGATTCATTGCCAAGACAACAAATTATTAGAACAAGGCTTTGAAGCTCTACAACAACTTTTCCTCAGAGGAGCTCAGAGCCTGAATTTAGACAGAAAAACTTCAGTATCAAAGCTGGCTGATAAGTATTCCTCTCATTTTAGAGTTAAGGAAGCTGTGTCATAAACCCATCCTGTGTGACACTGAACCAAAGCCCTTTGCTAAAGTTTGTGAAATAAAAAACTCTGTGTGGTTTGTGAAGAGATTTAAATGATTGATTACTCCAAAAAATCAGGCTGCAAACACGTCTCAGCAGACAGAAACAATTCTGTTTGAAAGAAAAAATACATTTAAATTGGAATTTAGGAAAGAATTCTTCCTTGTGAGGGTGGCGAGGCCCTGGGTCAGGTTTCCCATAGAAGCTGTGGCTGCCCCATCCTTGGAAGTGTCCAAGGCCAGGTTGGACAGGGCTTGGAGCAATCTGGGATAGTGGAAGGTGTTCCTGCCCATGGCAGGGGCTTGGATCTGGGTGATCTTGAAGTCCTTTCCAACTCAAACCATCCTATTATCCCATGAAATATTGTTCATCCATGAATAAGAAGGATTCATGGAACTATGAAGGATGGCTCAGTTCCCACCCCACCTTCATCTTACTGTAGCCTAGGAAAAGTCCATAAAACTCCATAATTCACTAAAAATGGGCTTTGGAACAGAACCTTCATGCACAAGTTGGAAAAAGCAGCTGAATTGTCCCCCAGACCAGCCCAGGGGGTTGGACCACAGACTCCAGAGCTGCCTTCCAACCCCATGTATGATTCCAGATCTGGATCCATACTGGGAGGCAATTCCTTTTATTTCTGCTTTACCCTCAAAACACCTTTCACTGCACCTCAGTTGCTGTCACATCCAGCTGGATATCTTTCCAAACATCACCAAGAGTTTCCATTCTCCCTTGGATACCTGTGCTGGCTCCAAATCCTTCCCAGTTTGTTTGCAAAGGGGATGGTGGGGTTGCCACAGGGAGCAGGGATTTGCAAATCCATAACCATGGCCTGGTGACACAGCCCTGCCCTTGAGGGCCTGAGTCACGTTGACACAGCCTTGAAGTCAAAGATAATCTCCTTATATAACCACGGGAATCCTCCTCGGAGTGAAGGAAGCCATCCAGATTTGTTTTTAAAATCAGTTTTGAAAAGAGCTTCCTGGATTTTATGAGCTCATGTTTCTGCTTCCTGGTCCAGGCACACACACAGCTCTGCTTGCAAACTGGGATGCTCACTCTGGGTACAACTATCCAGTTTTTTGTTTATTTTCCAGGAAAGTAAGGACAGGCTGGGAGAGCTGGGTGTGTTCACCTCGACAAGAAAAGATTCCAGGGAGACCTCAGAGCTCCTTCTGGTGCCTAAAGGGGCTTCAAGAGAGCTGGACAGGGACTTTGGATAAGAGATGGAGGGACGGGACAAAGGGAAGGGTTTCCCACTGCAAGAGGGCAGGGTTAGATGGATATTGGGAAGGAATTCTTCCCTGTGAGGGTGGCACAGGGTGCCCAGTGAAGCTGTGGCTGCCCCATCCCTGGAAATGCCCAAAGCCACATTGGACAGGGCTTGGAGCAACCTGGGACAGTGGAAGGTGTCCCTGTCTCAGGGAATTAGAGGGATTAACTTCCAGATGGAACAACTCAAGCACTGCTGAAATTCAGACTTCACGTTTTCAGGAGCAGCAGTAAAGGGCTTTTTTATGTAGGGACATTAAAGAAAACCTCGGTGCCTCATCCTCAGGATGTCACTGAAGGGTTCTGCAGTCCCCAGCAGGACAACTGTCTTGGCCTCTTGGAACACTTCCTCCAAGGAGGAATTAGCAAACACAGTGGATTGATTCTATTCTGTGAGGATTGGAAGCATGACACTGATCCCTGTGTGAAACATTCTGTCAGGACTGTTTGCTGATTCCCAGATTCCTGAGCTATATCCCACAGTCACCAAGCTGGATTTTACTTGGAGGGCTTCCAAGAGGGAATTCACCTGCTTTTGCCTCTGGGGACAGGGAAAAAAACAAAATATATTCAGAGAAATACTGTAGGGAGCTTAGCTCTTTGTATAGCTGGCTTGTGTTTATCCAGAGGCCTGCCTGAATCCTACTGCTCCCAAGGGAATCTGTTTAGACAGATCCAGGCCCTTGGGAAGGTCTCTCAGACTGGGAGCTGACAAACCAGAGCCAGGTTGTTCTACAAAAATTCATGCCTGAGCTGAGCTAGGAGGATTTTTTTTTTTGTTATTGGGAATTAATAAAGTGATCTGATCACTTTATTAAATCCAAATAACAAAAAAATTAGGTGGCAACTCATCCCAGCTCCATACAAGAGTCAGGAAGGTGTGGGGTGGGTGTCTGCTCCAAAGCCAGTCCCCACTGACCAAGCAAAGCCCTGCCTAATTTCCTCGGACAGCTTTTAGACAAGTTATTCATTTTTCCCTGAAGTTCTCCTTGCCTTTTGTCTGAAACATGAAGCCTTGTGCTCCCCAAGTATTTCAAAAAAGGTATAGAAAAGATGGAGCCAAACTCTTCCAAAGATTCACCGTGACAGGACAAGAGGTAAACCCAAAGGGTTGGGAGAGCTTGGGAGAAAAAAATAGGAGCAAAAGACTCATTCCTAAACAAAGCCTGCAGGGACAGCTTCGAGCAGCATCCAGGAATGAGGAGGATCAGAAAAAACATATGGCCCTGGAGGTCAACAGGATGAGGAGGGAATTAAATTTCAGCAAAAATGAACACAAAAAAAAAAAATATCCTTTTGTGGCTCTTGGGGGAACATAAATAATCAGAGACATTTCCAGAAGCAGGAAGCTGAGGACAACTTCACACCAGGTGGAACAGAGCTAATAGATTAATTAATATATTCATTTTTATATCAGAAAAGATACAAACCACAGAGAGGTTCAGGTTGATGTCTAATCACCCTGTGCTTGGAGAGCTCCACTTCACTCCAGGGGGAGCGACTCCAAAGCCTCACCCACCCAGATTTTCTGCCTTTCAGACTAGATCTCCCCCACAGCCATGATCTCTGCAGGGAACAGCCGGAATGTGGGAAACACGCTGCCAAACTGGCTGGAGATCAAAGGGGTGAAGCACCCGTGGCCAATGAAGGGAGGGGAGGATCAGCTCCTCCGCACGTGGCTCCTCAAAGGGATGACAGCCACGGTGCCACTCCAGTTCAGCCACCTGAGAGGTGGCTGCAATCAGCCGTGCCTGATGATTTTTGGAGGGCGTGGATCTCAAAAGAAAATCTCAATGGTTCAAGGGAGTCATAAACGGGAGGGCTGAAGGACAGAGGAAATTGAAACAAGGAAGGAAATTGGAAACCATTTCACCGCTTACCCCAAATGAAATCGTGGGGCAAGTGCTGGGGCTTCCTGGTTTTATCCCAGGTGGCACCTCTGGGGTCAACCCACTAAACTCCAGGATCTGATACTTCAGCAGAGCTGGAGAAATCCCCACCAAGGAGCTTTCAGAGTTTCATGGAATCGTTGGGTTGAAGGGGACATTCAAGATTATCTCGTTCCAACCCCCTGCCATGGCAGGGACACCTTCCACTATCCCAGCTTGATCCAAACCCCATCCAACTTGTCCTTGAACACTTCCAGAGATGAGGCAGGCACAGCTTCTCTGTGGCAACCTCTGCCAGGGCTTCATCACCCTCCCAGGCAAGGATTTCTTCCCAGTGTGCGTTCCTTGTAGAATTCCTGGAAATGGTGGTGTTTGTGTTCCAGTGATCCCAGTGGGATCATGATTTACGGGGTGCTCAGGTTGGAAAGGCAACCTCAGAATGTTCCTAACCCAAGTTCCTGAGCCAAGCTCCCAGTTTTGACGTCAGCCCGGGTTCCTCAGGACTTCATCCATCCAGGCCATGAAATATTCCCAAGGATCACCTCTCTTGGAAACCACATCTGCCACATGGAAGAGTTTATATCACATTTGGGTTGATTATCCCAAATGTCAGGAGCAGGGTGCTAACTGGAGGAGGATATTTTTGCTGGACCTTGGAAAGGGGATTATAGGAAAATGCAGAACCAGAGCAGGAGGGATCAAAATGTTGGAGCCTGGAGCGACACACAAGGAATTCAGGGAATTCAGTGAAAATTCAGTAAAGATAGATTTCTACTGTAAAGATAGATTTGTACAAGGAGAGTTGATGGAAGAAATGTTGATGGAAAGTCACTTCCAGTGAGGGATAATGGGAAATGTCTCATCCATCTGCTGTGCCCCAAAACCCAACTCTGTTGACTGTTAAACAATACTGAAATATGGAGTTTGGAAATAAAAGAAAGGAAAAATAAATGTTATTACAACTGTTTTAACACAAGATTATTTTTATTCTGCCCAAAAGGGTACAGAGAACATGAGATCTTAACCTCCCTGGAACAGATCATTGGCATTGGAAGTTCAGTCTCCTGCCTCATATGTTGGACACAGAAATGTCTCCTTAATTTTTTGGGGGACAAAGAAGGAGATCTAGGAAGAACAGCAGAAAATTATGGGGCAGAGAGGACCTGCTCTAAGGAGATAGGGAAGTCTCTTCTCAAGCTTTTTTGCCTTAAATATACTTCACACATTTTAATTTTTTACTTCAAACCCAATCACACCAGCACAGCAAAGAAACTCCATAGCTAATTTTGTGGGAGTTGTTGAAAAATCAATTTTAAAAATTGAGTTGGGCCTTCCTGTGTTCTGCTTGTCTCTTAGTTGTGGGGAAAGTGTGGATATTACCCACCTCCCCAAAAAAAACCAAACCAAACCAAACCAACAACAACAACAAAAAAAAAAAAAAAAAAAAAAAAAAAACCAAAAAAAAAACACCAAAAAAAGCACACAAACAATTTTTGGGAGCTGTTGAGTGTTGTTCATGAGGCATCCACATGGAAAGCTGGGCTGTGGGGGGCTATTTTCTTCATGGAATTTTCAGAATGAATTGCTCCTGTCATCCTCTCACACTCTAGTCCAGAAAAAGGCACAGAGGGAACTTGCCAGGATCCCAACTGGCACAACGCTGATCCCCAAACTTGCTGCGCCATCAACGTTGCACAGGTCAGAGAAACAGCAGGTGACAGGACGTGTCATCCCGATGCCATCCACATCAGAGGGTTCACACACAGAGGAGCACATCTTGGTGACAGTCAAGACTCCTGTGTGGGGATAAACTGTGGCAAAGAAAAAAAGCAGAAACAGTTAGGAATGGGAAAAACAGGGGAGAGCATCACCATTGATGACCAGGAGTTGGTGTCATGGAATTATAGAATGGTTTGCGTTGGAAAGATTATCAAATTCCAGCCTCTCTGCCATGGGACACCTTCCACTATCCTAGATTGCTCCAAGCCCTGCCCAACCTGGCCTTGGACACCTCCAAGGATGGGGCACCCCAGCTTCTCCAGGAAACCTTTGCCAGGGCCTCCCCACCCTCACAGGGAGCAATTTCTTCCTAATATCCTAAATCAAACTCACTAAAATCCTCATCTAAACTCACCCTCTTTAGGTTTAAAGCCATTCCCTGTTTTCCTATCACCACACGACCCTGCAAAAAGTTAAAATCTCATTTCTGAACATTAACCAGGAGTTTGCATTCACCAAATATTCCCTCACACAAACACTGCTTCCCACAACAGCCTGAGAGCCAGAGCTCCCACGGGAGTTCCTCTCCACTTTTTAAGTGGAAAGAGGAACCGGTCTCCACACCAGCATTGTTGAAGCACTGATGCCTGCTAAAAGTATGGATAAAGAAGTAATTGTCCTTACCATCCTCCAGGGAATAGATTGTAGTCTTGCATATGTTCTCTTTCTCTGTGCAGTTCTCAACTTTCTGGCACTCCTGAACTGGAGTCAAATCCCTGCACGTGTAACACTGCAAGGAGTGTCCTGTGAGGAGGGAAAACAGGAGGATGGAAAAACATGAGGATGGTCTCACTGATCACTGTGGACCCTGTCCAGGTATCTCTTGGGAGGGATTTTCCAAAATAATCATGCTGAGAATGAGAATGGAATAATAGAACGTGTTTGGACTGGTGGGAGTGAGAAACACAAAGGTGTGGTGGTCAAAGCACAGCCTCAGGTCGGGTTCAGACCCCTTGTGATGAGTCAAACAAGAGAGAGCCACACACACAGGAGACCCTGTGATACAGGAAAGAGCTTGGGCTGATTTATTTCACTGTTTTCTGGATTTATGCCTCTCCTTGACTTTAGTGGAGCATCAGAAAGAGATCCCACACTTCCAAACTCCCAGAATCAGAATAGGGGAGGTTGGAAGAGTCCTCTGGAGCTCCACCAGCCCAATCCCTGCCCTCAAGCAGTACCACCTAAAGCCTCTAATTCAGGGCTGTCCCCAGGTGGGGTTTTAATATCTCCAAGGATGGAGATTACACAACTTCCCTGGGAAACCTCTGCCAGTGCTCAGTCAACCTGACAGTCATAAAGTGTTTCCTGATGTTTCTCTCTTTCAGTTTTTTGTCCTTTGCCTGATCCTGGCACTGGGAATCACTGAAAGGAGTCCAGCTCTGTCCCCTTTGCTCTCTCCCTTCAGGAATTTACTGACATTTATAAGATTCCCAATTTGAACCCTCACTTCTCTGGCCTGAGAAGTCCCAGTTTTTCCTCAGAAATGTTCACTCAGCCCATGCCTTGTCCATGAGGATTTTGGAACAGGTTTCCTAAAGAGGTTGTGGACCCCCCACCCCTGGAAGTGTCCAAGGCCAGGTTGGACAGGGCTTGGAGCAACCTGGGATAGTGGAAAGTGTCCCTGCCATGGCAGGGGGTGGAACTGGATGATCTTTGAAGTCCCTTCCAACCCAAACCATTCCCTGATCCCATGATCTTATAGGAGAGAGCATCACAGTCTTTCCTGAAGTCCAGGTAGAAAATATCCACAGCTCCTCCCTTGTCTACCAGGTCAGTCTCTTTATCACAGAAATTTGTCAGCTTGGTCAGGTTTATCCCTTGGTGAAGGATCTGGATACACACACAAAAAAGTTGGATTTGGACGTGAGTTGCAGCAGTGAGAATTTCCTCTGGTGCCATCCACTCTGCCAGCTCTTCCCAAAGGCTGGGAGGGTGTCCCAGACAGGAGGGATTTGTCTCCATCATACTGAGAACAAACTGAGCACAATCCTTCCCCTTGTGCTGAGATTCTGGGTTTGTAAGAAGAATGTGAGGGGTTATTTTAAATCCTGGAACAGTTTGGGTTGGAAGGGTCCTTAAAATCTTCCCGTTCCAGACGCCTGCCATGAGCAGGGACACCTTCCACTATCCCAAGTTGCTCCAAACCCCATTCAACCTGGCCTTGGACACTCCCAAGGATGGAGCAGCCACAGCTTCTCTGGGAAAACCTGTGCCAGGACCTCACCAGCCTTACAGAGAAGAATTAAACCAGACAGCAGCACCATGAATGGATTGCATGCAACAAGTTCTGCTCTAGGCAGAGACCACAGACACAAAATTTGTCACTTGAGACTCCAAATCCATCCTGAGTCAGCTCCTCCTGCCTTGTCCCTCACTACTTGAGAGATGTTCCTCATCCCTGTTAAGTTGTAAAGCCCTTGAGAGCTGCAGGTTCTTCTCAGTTCCTACAACCACAGAATAACCACAGCCCAAGCCTTTCAGTGCCTGAAGTCTTCTGAGGTGGAGAAACTTTGGAGAAAACCACTGAAGAACCCAGATTTTTGTGACACGGAGCTCTCCAAGCTAAAGATATCAAATCAAAACAGTGTCTGGTGCTTCCTATCACCAAAAAAAGCCATTTTTGACAAGTTTTTTCAGGGCATTTTGCTCTCTGTGGGTTTTTCTGAGGAACCCAACATTTTATCTGGGTCCTCTCCTCTAGGTGCTCTCTTCCACCCCCTCAGCAGACACCTCAAAGTGGGTGCCACAACCACACTGATGTATTTTGCTGCCATCACACCCCAACAGCCCCTCTTCAGTCTGGGAAGCCCTTGTCACCCTGTCTGTGTGACGTTCCTGCTGAAATTCCTTAAAACCTCGCTAAAAAGGAGAAATTATTCATCTCCTCCCAGGTCCAATGGGATGTCAGCAGGCTCAGGCAAACAAGTCACCCTGTGAAAACAGACACCATCCTCGTTAATGAGCCAGAAAAAGCCCTTTTTAAACAAACACAGCAATTTTCCTGCTAAAGCAAACTTTATTCTCTTGCTTTGCCCATCATGACCTGATGGCTTTGTTTGCACTAATTCAAGTCTGACAGTTGTGAAATTCATCTTTAGGAGGAAGCATCTCTTTTAGTCTCACATTTCAGGATGCTGGACAAATGCAACGCACAGGATTTGTGTTCCTCTCTGAAAAGAAAACCAAACAAGCCACCACCTGTTTCTCCCCTGCAGAATCTGCTCAGCAAGGAGGGAAGAACTGAACATGTCCTTGCAAAAGAAGGAAATAAATAGGAGTTTAAAAATCCTGACAGAGCTCCACAGACAGGCACAGATAAAATCAGAGCTGGCACTGTCTGGATCTGAGAATATCCCAATGAACAGTCACAGATCCTGGACTGATCCTGCTCATTAATTACCTTGGACATCCAGGAGAACACCAACAAAGCTTGGGATCATCAATTTTTGTCCAAGAGGTTGGCGTGGTGGTAGAAACAAGGGACAGAAAGGATGGAGGGAGGATCATGGAACCATAGAATGGAATCACAGAATGGTTTGGACTGGAAGGGACCTTTCTGATCATGGAATTTCACCCCCTGCCATGGGCAGCAGCACCTTCCACTGGACCAGATTGCTCCAAGCCCAGCCCAGCCTGGCCTTGGACACTTCCAGGAATGAGCATCCACAGCTTTTTGGGATAATCTGTTCCAGTGCCTCACTTTGATCTTTAAGGTCACTCCTAACCCAAACCATTCCATGATTTTATGATAAACATAGAATACCTGGAGTACCTGGGCCTCCAGCAGTGTCCCAGCCCATCTTTCCCATTCCTAACAGCTAAAATTGTATAAATCCCACATATAACATTTTTTGAGAGCTCCTACACATGCTGCATGGAACTGACATCTAGGGCTAAGTATCAAAAAAGGTGCAGAAAGTTAAAAATAATGTTAAAAAAAATGAGTGAGATAGAGCACGAACATGGAAAAAGTGAGAATGGGAATTTGCATTAAAGGAATGACAGGGTTTAATCACACTCTGCCTTGTGAAACTTCCTAAAGAGCCTGACCTGACAATCCAAATGACACCATCACCATCCTGAACATATGGAAAATTCCAAAGACAGATTTTCTTTTTCCCTGAAAACTGCCTAAAGTCAGAGATGTGGCTTTCAGATGGAATGGGGCACATCCTATCCCACCACACTGCATGTCCTGAAGGAATTCGGATAAATCTGAACAGGAACTCACCCAAATCCATGCAAATGACAGCAGCCAACAGAAGAGACAGAAACACCTTCATCTTGCACAGCCCTCGCTGTCTGGTCCCTGGGTTGTCACCACTCTTCACCGATGTCACACGTCCCGGTGATTTGCCATGCACGGATTCCGTCCCCAGATCCAAATCTACTGGAAAAACGACTCTCATTGAGCTATAAATGAATTGAAAGAGCTCCAAAGCAGGCCCCACCTCTTGCTACTCCGTCATGTCTTTTCATGTTCTTTGGAGAAGAAAATTTGTTTTTGCCTGGTGGACAATGGCTGGGATTGGTTAAGTCTGGTGTTTTGTGTCCAAGCAGGATGTGGAAAGCCTGGGGTGTTAAGTAATCCTGGTGTCCAGGTCTTGTCTTGCAGCTTGGGGATATTTCCTCTCCTTTTTTGGAGTGGTTTCAAGAAATCCTGGGTAAAAACACCTTGGTGGGTGTGAACACCAAGGAATTGAACCTCATGGATATTTCTCCTCTGCATTTTCACCTTCAGTGAAGTCCACAGTTTATCAGGAGGATGAGAATCATGGAATAGTTTGGATTGGAAGGGATAATCTCATTCCAAACTCTCTCCATGGGCAGGGACACCTTCCACTAGACCAGGTTGCTCCAAGCATTGTCCGGCCTGGTCTAGAAGTGGAAATCTGACTTTCAATCACTCACTCAGTGGAAAAAGTAAATGGAGCACTAGGAAAAAAACAGGACCAGGACCCAAAAGCTTGGGCCAAAGGAATGTCTTCAGGCTCCTTATCCCAAGGAAGATGGCATGGAAAAACCCCTCTGCTCTGAGCCAAATCTCTCCAAACGTGGTTGCAAGCTCATGACGTTTTTGCTTCCCAAACACTTTTCCCATTCCCAACCCTGCTGCCCCAGGCATCTGCTGGATTTTCCTGCACTTCAGGCCAGCTCCATGCCAGGAAATCCTCCTCCAACATGGGATGAGCAAAGTGTGGAATTGCAAAAACTGGGAAGGAAGAGCCTTTTGGTGGCTATGCCAGGGACCCTCCCAACACAGAGTTTTACTAAGGAATGGGGAAAAGCTGAATCCAAGATGATGTTGGAGATATCCCCACTATCTTTGTTATTCCACCACTGAAGGAACTTTATCCAGAGTTGTTCACATGAACTCTTGGAATCATAGAATCATTAAGGTTGGGAAAGATGTCAGGATCATCACATCCAGAGTCAAACCAGCAGCACCACCATTTCGTCCTCTAAACCCTCTCCTCAAGTGCTATTTTTGAGTACTTCCAGGTTTGTGACTCCATCACTACCCTGGAGCCTGTTCCAATGCCTGACAACCCTTTCTGCAAAGAAATTTTCCCTGATATCCAATCCAAACTTTCCCTGGTGCGACTTGAGGCTAATTTGTTTTGTCCTGCCTTGGAATGTTAAAAGTTTTTCTAGGAATGCTGGATTAAAAAAATCCAATCATCATCTCTCCAAATCTAAAGCTCCACAATCATGGAATGGCTTAGGTTGGAAGGGAATTTAAAGACCATATAATCCCAACCTCCTGCCATGGGCAGGGACAACTTCCACTATCCCAGGCTGCTCCAAACCCTATCCAACCTGGCCTTGGACATTTCCAGGAATGGGGCAGCCACAGCTCCTCTCAAATTCTATTCCAGGGACTCCCCATCCTCACGGGAAAGAATTTTTCCCTAATACCCAATCTAAAGGTGGTCCCAGCATTTCAGCAATCCCTGTCGCTTTTCCAAACACCACTTCTGGGAGACTTCCATCCTCAGGAATTCCGACGGGTTGTTTTCACAGTTGCCTCTCTAATACAGTAATTAGGTGGATTATGAGAGCTAAGCAGTTATTACCAGCCCCAAAAATTACCTAGGGAAAGACATTTAGGTATATTCCACCCCTGTCGCTTTTCCAAACACCACTTCTGGGAGACTTCCATCCTCAGGAATTCCGACGGGTTGTTTTCACAAAACAGCCTTTCTAATATAGTAATTAGGTGGATTATGAGAGCTAAGCAGTTATTACCAGCCCCAAAAATTACCTAGGGAAAGACATTTAGGTATATTCCATGTCTGGCATTCCTCATGTTCAGCAGAAAATATTATAATCCTATTAAAAAGGCGAAATCCTCTGATGGGGTTTGCCTTGTTCATATGGAACAAAAAGAAAAGAAAAGAAAAAAACATTGATGGGGTGTGGCTTCTGGTTTCTGGTGTTAAGTGGCCTCAAACAATATGCGTTAAATGACTGGTTCCACCTGCACAGCTGAAATGTGATCTCCCTCGCCTTAGAAAATCTTGGATGGAAGAATCTCTGCCACCACCCTGCTCTAAATCCTCTTCCCTCCTTCGCTCCGGAGGGTGGTTTTGGAGCGGTGTCAACACACCTTGTTTATGGTTTCAGTTGATCTTATCTGAGTCCTGAAATGTCTCCTCTTTTATGCACACCCTGTGCTGCTGCTTTGCAGGGCTGGCAACTCACCAAAAAAAAAAATAAAAAAATTAACAAGAACTAATGAGAATATTCAAATATTGTTTTGTTGAATTCCTGTTATTATTTTGTAGGAAACCACAACCTGTCCTACTGAGGGGGCTTCCCACTAATTGCAGAAAAAAAAATAAAGACACACAATCTGCATAAATCTGTCTCATCACAAGATGGATTAAAAAAATATATATACAATTTTTAGTGTATCTGTTCAAATGGAAATTAATACAAAAAACTCTCGCACTTCAGATGAGTTTGTTGTCATAAATACAAGGAAAAGTTCAGCCAAATGTTTACTTCCAGCCTGGGAATCCCATGCCAAACTCTTTTCCTGTCCTACCTCGCCAGCTGAGGCAGTCTCAGGGTGGAGGCATCTTCATCAGCCCTGACTCACTTACATCCAGCCTGGAAATCTCAAAATCCCTCACCCTCCCAGGCTGCCCAATTCCATTGCAAATCCTAAAATTCCTCATCCACCTCCAGGGCAGAGTTTCAGGGACCAAGGGCTGCAGGCACTGAGAGCCTTCTTAATTATTTTGAGCTCTCCATATTCATTACTCTAATCAGCTCTTGACGTTCCTCCAGTGAATCCCAAATTTCCAGAGCAGGCAGATGCAGGAGTGAAAGATGGGATTGGATTTAAGGGTGGAGGGGTGCTGACATGACCCTGTCATCTGCTCATGCTGAGCTTTTTTGGAAGAGGATTTAAAGATCATCCCATTCCAACCCTTGCCATGGGCAGGGACATCTTCCACTATCCCAGGGTGCTCCAACCTGGCCGTGGATACTTTCAGGGATGGGGCAGCAACAGCTTCTCTGGGAATTCCATTGCAGCCCCTCACCACCCTTACAAGGAAGGATTTCTTCCCAATATCCCATTTAACCATACCCCATTCCTGTTTAAAGCTATTCCCCCTTGTCCTGTCCTTCCACCTCTTTTCCAAAGTTCCTCTCGAGCTCTCCTGGAGCCCCTTCAGGCTCTGGAAGGGGCTCTGAGGTCTCCCTGGAGCCTTCTCTTCTCCAGGCTGGACATTCCCAGCTCCTCCAGCCTGGCTCCAGAGCAGAAGGGCTCCAACCCTTGGAGCATCTCCAGGGCCTCCTCTGGACTCACTCCAGCAGCTCCACAGGTCAGGGATGAAAGGCGCTCATGGAATCACCAAGGATGGGTTACTCTGAGCACTGAACTGCTGCTGGGAAGATGCCAGGGATTAAATCACCATGAATTTCACCTCTGAGACACCACAGTTCCCACCTGTCCCTCGCAGACACCAAAATTCTCCGGAGCTGAGGTTTTTGCACCAGAAAGAAAGGAATTAAACGGGTATCCTTGCCCTTCTCTATCTCCTCCATTGATGAGGAATGTCTTTAAAAGTTAAAGAGAAAGCTGGGGAAAAAAAAAAAAGTAAAAAACAGAGAATAGCAAGCCTGACTCTGACCTATCCCCATGAATAAGGAGTCAGGAATCCAACCCTGCAGCTCCTTTAGAGCCATTTTCACTAAGGCACCACTCATTAGCTCATTAGTCACAGCAGCCTTGTTCCTCCTAATTGATTTTACTACAATCCCCTACAATGTATGGCCAGGATCCAACGTGTCTCTGCCTGGCTTAAAAACCATTACATTGGCACAGCTTTGGCAGACACTTCATCCCTCTTCCAAGCCTCTGGAATGTGTAATGGTCAGGTGATTCCCATAACTGAGCTTCTGGAAGGTGCCCTCAGGGAAAGGACATGTGTCCCCTCGGTGGGACAAGGCTCAAAGGAGCCAGCTGAGCAGAGAGTTGTGGCTTTCACACCTGGGTGGGTTTGACACAGACTGGAGCTGCGGGAAGTTTGGCAGCTCTCTCCACACTGGATTTCACCTCGGCACTGAACTGGGACAAAGAATCGTGGAATGGTTTGGGTGGGAGGGGACCTTCAAGATTATCTCATTCCAAACCCTTGCCATGGGCAGGGACACCTTCCATGTCTCCAGGTTGCTCCAAGCCCCATCCAACCTGGCCTTGAAGGGATCCAGGGGCAGCCACAGCTTCTCTGGGAATTCCAGGGCCTCACCACCCTCACAGGGAAGAATTCCTTCCCAGGATCCCATCTATCCCTGCCCTCTGGCAGTGGGAAGCCATTCCCTGTGTCCTAGCACTCCATCCCTTGTCCCAAGTCCCTCTCCAGCTCTCCTGGAGCCCCTTCAGTCACTGGAAGGGGCTCTGAGGTCTCCCTGGAGCCTTCCCTTTCTCCAGGCTGGACGTTCCCAGCTCTTCCCAGCGTGGCTCCAGCCCTTGGAGCATCATCTTGGTCTCCTCTGGACCTGTTCCAGCAGCTCCAGGTGCTGAGGCCCTCAGAGCTGGACACAGAACACCAGGAGGGAGTGGAGCAGAGGGAGGGAATCCATCCCTGGACCTGCTGGTCACATTCCTTTTGATGCATCCCAGGGTTCTGCTGTCTCCTGGCTCCAACAGAGACCTGAGAGAACTTGATTAAAGCCAGACCCAGGGCAGACAGGTCAGACCACCCCACAAAGGGTTCCTTAAATCTGCTGCTCATCCCAGATTCCCACCAGACCTCGCCGTGTCCCCCTCTCTGCCCCAGCCACTGCTGTGAGCTGCACCTGGAGCTCAGAGAAGCTTTGGATGTTCCCCAGGAGAAGAAGGCAGGA